TGAAAAGTTCATAATCTTAGGCATTGTGCCTTAGTCCAGGCATTGCCTATTCCCTGTCTGCTGTAGCATGCTTTAACAGGTACCAGGTCTCTCCTATTCTTGTGAATCTAGCGCCACTGACTCATACATTCCTGCTTTGTACATATTTTGTAGAAAATTGTAATCCTGTTCGTTGTAATCCTGCAGTGGCAGGGGCAAAGTGTGAAATCAACAGAATGAATGCCTCTACCAAAGGTTGAGGAGAATAGGAATCCTGTCCAAGTGTGGTCAAAAAAGCCAGATGCAAATTGGCCAGAGGTGGTCTAGGAACAGCTTCCATAAAAGACACAGGCTTTCTTGAGGCCTCTTAGCCTGGGCTATGACAAGGTTGTCCAATCACATTTACTTATCTGGTTGATGTTATTATTCATTTCTTTGAGATGGCAGTTCCTAAGCTTTAGTATATGTGTGTAAAAGTAGGTTGATTTGGCTTGATTTGAGACACCAACACACTTTCATGAAGACTGAGTGTTTGAACTGTGTGTGCTTGGCGGATACATCCTGGGTCCTCGGCACAGGCAGTGACTTCCTAGAAGTTGTTTCTTGCTCTAAAAAATGGTGGGTTGCAAGAAGAGAAAAGACATTTTGTTGAGGTTAAAATGAATGTAGACTCAATATACACTTTTTACTCTTATTCCATTTAAAACAACTGACTTCCTCTGGCAAGTTTCCTTTCATTTGAGTAGTGTTTATTCAACATATTCAGACTTTTTTAAAAAAAGTTTATTGCCTATGATTCTTAATCCTGATAAGCATACCACTGTTCTAAAATTTATATTGTGAGGAAAATTATGTCATCAGTTTCTTTTTTCTTTTGATATTTCCCTTTTTTGGCTGAAAATAAATGACCTGCTTTTCTTATGTCCCAGAGTTTTGTCCCTTTTCTTTTTTAAGAAAAAAACCAACCTTTGTTTTATGATTTTAGCAATGAGTTTGTGTATAGTTTGGTATGAGGTCTGTAATTTTTATAGGATAGCATTTTTAGTCATGGCCACTTATATATTAGTGATCTCTTCTTCACATGGGTGTGAGAGTTGGAATGTACCATGACTGGGTCCATACAGAGAAGGTGCTGCTATTTCCTTGAGCCTCTGCTGGCATTATGGGCAACATAAAAGAATGTGTCTGCCATTACCATGGGTGACTCGAGTGGCAGGCCAGAGAGGGTTCCCTTGAGAAGGTGATGAAAGGTATGGACAACTGCTTTGGTCCCCTCTGACTGGCCAGGCCTTAGAATTAGGTTGGGAATACTGAGTTTACCAGGCACATTATTTTTTTAATAGTATTGCTCCTATAATCTTTTCTTTTATAAGAGGATGATTCATTGGTTCCTATTCCCAATATTTGTACCCCTTATCAATGGTAATTGCTTTCAGAAATAATTGAGTCCAACCCTATGGTTTATATGAAGTAAATGCCTAAGTCTGATTTGATTCTTACTGTTCCTTAAACTTAGCAAAATACTGCTTTAGCTGTTTTCTCTAGAGACCACACGAGAACACTTTATTTAGGTAGTCAGCTTAAACAATATTTTCACTTTCTACAGATAGCAATGGGCATTAAACTTGGGAAGCTATGTAACTTGCCAAGGTTGCAGAGCCAGCTGTAGAGATAGGGTTGGATAGGATAGCTGGGTGATTCTCTTTTGGAAATTCAATATGACCTTTTCACCTGCAATGCAAACATATGTTCACAAATGGCTAAGCACATAAGCGTTTCTATAATAAGCATGCAGTTATATGACTAAGAGTGGGCAGTAATTAAAATAGTTGTACTCCTTTCTTTCTTTGCAGACCAAATACTATTCTTAAGTGAATAAGATGTAATTTCCTTATATATTTCCAAGTATTTACTAACATTTATTCTTTTTTTTTGAGATAGAGTCTCGCTGTGTCACCTAGTCTGGAGTGCAGTGGCACCATCTCGGCTCACTGCAAGCTCCGCCTCCCAGGTTCACACCATTCTCCTGCCTCAGCCTCCCAAGTAGCTGGGACTACAGGC